GAGAGAGAGAGAGAGAGAGAGAGAGAGAGAGAGGAGAGGGGGGGGAGGGGGGGGGGGGGGGAGAGAGGGGGAGAGATCTAGTTTGACTGACCCGGCAGTTACACATTTCTGGGCCCTGTGCCTGCGTCTATCTTCCCTAGCAGGGTCGGGGAAGGGCTGGTATTATGGAACACGAGAGGTGTCACTGAAGGCAATCAGATTGGGGGCCAACAAACAAGTTGGTGCTTTCCTCCAGCTCTCCCCCCTGAAGCACGTTCCTTTCCCTCCTCACCCTCTGTTCCTTTTTCTTCCTGCAGCTTTTCAACTTGTCTGAGCGGAGACATGACATCACGAAGCTCCACTCCAAGGTAAGTGCGCAGCCCTGCGCCACTCGGAGGTGAGCATACTAGCTGTGCTCAGCGCTGCTCATTTCTTCTGAGGGAGCCGGCGGAGGAGGCCATCTGGAAGTCTTTACACCCACTTTATTCTTGTCTCCTTTGAGGCTGGGGGTGAAGGGGGATGGAGTGCCACGGTGCAAAAGGCAGGAGTGTGGAGAACTCAAGTCAGGAAGAAGGAAACAGAACCTGGGGGGAAGGGCACCTTCTGCCGTTTGTTCAGATGTGAACCGAGGCACGCATCTGCACCAGGATAGGGCACTGTAGATAACTGGGAAAAAGGGACGATGAGACTCGGGCATCCCAGATCTCAGTGCCACATATAAGTCACTTTTTCCCTCCACCTTAGTGCAAGACAGAAGGAGCCCAGATGGTCCTTTTCCCGGTTATTTTAGGGCCTCATTGTGGGGTCCCAGAGCTTATGCTCAAAGACCAGACAAGAAGCCTTATGCTGCAGGGGGTAGGATTTTGGTTAGACTTCAGGCAGTTGTAAGATAGTTGAGCCCTGGAACAGGTAGCAGCTTGGACTTCCTGTTGCTTTGACCATGACTATTGCTCTCCAAGGCTGTAGCTAGTTTCAGGAGTTCTGGCCTCTCTTACCCTTTATCCCAGGGAACTGATCTGTGATCCTGACTGACTTGTCCTGGCTCCCGGAGACTGGCACAGGCTGCTCCTTGCCTTTCCCAGGAAGTGGCCAATGCTAGGGTTAAGCACCAGCTCCTGGCACCTTGGTGAGCCTTAGGAAGCAATCAGTGGAGGGGTCAGTCCTCCCAGATCCCATTCAGTGGTAGGTGCCTTGGCCACACCTCCTGTTCAGTCATCTCCTAATTGGATCTCAGGGTGGGCTGACAAGCAAGCCCCTCCAGGCACTGAGTGTGTGTGTGTGTGTGTGGGGGGGGAGGTGGCAGGGGATTCCTGGAATTGGGAATCCAATAAGAGGGTCCTACGTGGGAATATTGAGGTGTGGAGAAGGGAAAAGGCTGGCCAATCATCTTTGAGACTGGTGGGAACTTTTAGGGAATGAGAAAGACAGGACTCGGGCTTTTGTGGGCACCTACTTCTAGATCTTGCTGTGTAGACCCACAGATTTAGAACTGGCAGAAACCTTAAAGATCATTTAGTTCAGTTTTCTAGAGTGAGAAGGTTATTGGCTAAGGTCCCATTTATACTAAGTTTCAGAGCCAGGATTTGAACCCAGGTCTTTTGACGCTAGATCCAAGTGGTCATTCTACTACACAATGCTATTATAACTGAAAAGGATGAAGAAAATTATCTGAAGCAACGTCTTCATTTAATAGATGAGAAAACTGAGGTCTTGGGAAGCAAATTCTCCCTTCCTTCTTTCTATTCCTTTATTCTAGGGAGGCTTCCCTTCTTCCTTCTTCTTTCCCTCCCTCTCTCTTTGTCTCCCTCTATCTTTCCCTCCCTCCCTCCCTTCCTTTCTTCCTTCCTTCCCTCCCTCCCTTCCTTTCCTACCTCCCTCTTTTCTTCTTCCCCTCTTCCTTTCCTTCCCCTTCTTCCTCCCCTCCCTCCCCTTCCTCTTCCCCTCCCTCCCTCCCTTCCCTGTTCCTTTCCTTTTTCTTCTTTCTTTCCTCCCTCCCTTCCTCATAGTGTAATAAAAAGTTTGGGTAGACAGATAGAGTAGATCAGTGCATTACTGATGGCAGCTGCTGAATGATTTTGGTGAAACACATAGGGTGAGCTGCTCGCATCACTCTTGGTTTCCCTCTCAGCCCCGTTGCCTAATTTTTCTTCTCTTCTGTGTCCTAGGTGCTGGACTTTGGTTGGCCTGACTTACACACTCCTGCCCTGGAGAAGATCTGCAGTGTTTGCAAGGCCATGGACACGTGGCTCAATGCCAACCCCCACAATGTCGTGGTCCTACACAACAAGGTCAGAGCCCCCTGGGGCTTGTACACATCCCCTTGTGCCTGTGTGTGCCTGCATCAGTGTACTTCTGTCTCTGTTGTCTGTGGGCGTCTGTATCTTGGTGTATACTTGGATCTGGGCTTGGGTGCGAGGGTACCGTGTGGCTGTCTATGTCTGCTGCCCTTGTGTTTTTGTATGTCTGTGTTTCTGTCTGCCTGGGCCCGTCCATCTCTGAGCCTGTATCTGTGTTTCCCTCTCTGGTGATGCATATATGTGTGCCCTACTCACAAGATAATTCCAGGCTGGCCCCTATTGTATCTGAGTGGGTGGCTCAAAAATTGTTGATCAGTTGCCTGTTTTTTGTTTAGGGTCTGAAGGGCCTTTAACCTCCTTCCTGTTGTAGCTCCTTCCCTCTTTTCTGCTCACCCAAACCCCTCACCACAAAGGCCCTCTCATTCTTTTCCTCAGGAGTCCTGAACTTATCAAGCTGTACTGGCAAAGCTAATGTAGAAATTCCTGACTGGGTTAAACTGAGGTGTTTCTGACCTTGAGAATGAATGCCTTTGTGATTTGGACTCTTTCAGGGAAACCGAGGCAGGACTGGAGTTGTCATCGCTGCTTATATGCACTACAGCAATATTTCTGCCAGGTAAGAGGGACACCAGGCTATTTATCCCTTAAACTGAGAGAGCAGGAGACAAAGGCTATTTCTTCCCTGGGACCTACCTAATAATGGCGATATAGAAAAAGAGATAGAGGGGCAGGGATGTATGGGGTCTGAGAGTCATTTAGTTTTGGATTGGGAGGTCTTTTAGAGGCCTGGGGAGCACAGATGGGGAGTAGGAGACTCTTGTAGGAGCAGCAGTGAGGTTGGGGATAACAGTGAGGTTAAACCCACGGGAGGAAGGTGGAAGGGAGGAAAGGGACCTAGGCAGTGACTAAGCATCTTCAATTTCAAGAAAGGACTCCTTTTGGAAGGGCCTTGGGAAGGTGGTCCTAATTCCTGGTCTCCACAAACCTGGAGTTCATGGGCAGCCTTCCTTCTTGAAGGTGGGATGGCAGGGCAGAGGGTTGTGGTGGTGGTGGTAAAAAGAAAATCATAAAGACAGAATTTAAGGTCAGGTGGGCCCTCCAGAGGTTGGTCGTCCTACCCGTCCTCTCTCTCTACTCAGGTAAGTGGCAAATAAGATGCCAGTGGATTAAGTTGTGGTAATTTTGTTTTTGATTTTTGATACTTCCATTCTTACCTGGAGGCAGGGCATGAGAGCCTGCTAGCCTGAGATCATGTGGGACAGTAGCATGAGCTGGATTAGAGCCAACCTACATGACCTTGGGAAACATCCATATCTTCTCTGGGTCTATTCTCTCATCCCTGGCGTGGTAGGGTTTGGTCTCTCCAATTGTCTCCTCTCATTTCTCGCCTTCTCCCCACAGTGCAGACCAGGCCCTGGATCGATTTGCCATGAAGAGATTCTATGAGGATAAGGTGGTTCCTGTGGGGCAGCCATCCCAGAAGAGGTTGGTTTTGAGCTCCCATGTATTTGCATGTATACATATGGGCTCCACTACCCACTGATGTGGGGCAGAGTGGACTGCCATGCACATGCATGTATGTATGTATGGATGTGTGTACGTGCCAAGCCTCTGTGTTTGGGCTTTAGCCTGTGGGCTCTGAAGGGGTGAGTGCTCATATGATAATAGTTCTTCCCTACTCCAATAGCTCTATGGATGATCTCATCCATGTGGGCCTTCCCTCTGATGGCACAGATGGCGACCCCTTTGTGACTTCTTGTACTGAGCATTCCTGTCCATGACTGCCTGTAAATCTCCCACAAGCAGTCCATGTAGTGTTGGGGGGCGGCATTCCTCTAGGGGGTTAGCAATCTACCACCCACAGGCCTGGATCACAAGACCATAGATTTAGAAACAGAAAGGGCTTTGGAGGCCCAAATCCTATCATTTTACAAATGAATAAGTAGCAGAGAAGAGATTCAAATGTGGGTCCTCTGACATTAAACCAATATTCTTTCATTTGTACCACACGGTCTCCTATCTTCTGACAGATATTATGGGCAGCTGGGTGGCACAATGGCTAGAGCACTGGGCCTAGAGTCAGGAAGAACTGAGTTCAAATCCTGCCTTAGGCATTTACTAGCTGTGTGACCCTGAGCAAGTCACTTAACTTCTATCTGCCTCAGTTTCTTCATTGGTAAAATGGATATAATAATAGCATCTACCTCCCAGGGTCATTGTGAGGATCAAATGAGGTTATATTTTTAAAATGCTTCATAAACCTTAAAGCACTATATAATGTTAGCTATTAGTTCGCTATTATCAGTAGAGACCATGGCTGTCTATCTGTTATCTCAGTGGTATCAAACTCAATAGAAATTGATTCCTGCTGGCCTTGTATTGACTAGAAAACCACAAATTAACATTATAAAAATTGTATATTTATTTATTTTGTTTAACATTTTCCAGCTATATTTTCATTTGGTTCTAGTGCACTCATGAGTTTGGCAGCCTGCTTGGGGCCCAGTGGCAGGCGAGTTGGACACCTCTGTGTGATTGACGCAGCTCTAACTAGGGTGGAATGATCAGAACTTTGACCCAGGGTTCTAAAATTCAGAAGACAATGACACTAACCTAGAACGACTGAGATTAGCACGTAATTAACAAAAATAATTCAAATAGGAGTGTCTAGGAGCTTCTTTCCCCCTCTGTCTACTCCTGTAGCCATCCCCCTTGTCGATCCTGGCCTAATTTTGTGTACTTTTTCCACAGAAGCAGCTTTATGATATCCTTTCTTCCATTAGCCTGTGTCCATCCATACTCCAGGCAAGCTTCTCTTCCCCTCAGTGACACTTTGTCTTGGACCATTTGTCATGGACACAAAAATTATCAGATGCTTTTGGTGCCTAGGTCTTTGATAATAGTATGCTACCCCCATTCATACCCACCGTGAGTCTCTCCATTCCTCTTTGGGTGATCTCTTGTTTTAATTCTTTTGGAGACTGTGAATTAACAAAAACAATGATACTTGAAACTTGTTTAGCATTTTATAATTAAAAAAAACTTTTCTGGATATCTTTTTTTAAACTATCTCCTTTGTTTCCAAATATTTCCTTCCCTCCTCTACTACCCAGAGAACCATATCTTGTAACAAAGAATATATATAGAAAGAGGGGAAGAAAAAGTAGCACATTGAAACTAATCAACCTATCAACTGAGTCCAACAGGATATTCAGTGCTCTATGCTCATGTTCACACAGTCAATAAGCATTTATTAAGCCCATACTATGTTCCAGGCACTGTACTAATCACTAAAAATACAAGGAAAAGGGGCAGCTAGGTGGCGAAGTGGATAGAACCCCAGCCTTGGAGTCAGGAGGACCTGAGTTCAAACGTGGCCTCAGACACGTAACACTTACTGGCTGTGTGACTCTGGGCAAGTCATTTAACCCTGATCACCCCACCAAAAAGTAAAGATAATAGGAAAGGCAAAAAACAGCCCTTGCTATCTAGGAACTCAGTCTAATGGGGAGAAAGCCTGCAAACAACTATGCACAAACAAGCTATATACAGGATAAACTGGAGGTAACCAAGAGAGGGAAGACATCAGGGAGGGGGAAGATGATTCATAATTTTCAAAGTATCACATTTGATCCTCCCAACAGCCCCGTGAAGGAGGTAGGAGGCTCAGAGAAGGCATATGACTTGCCCAAGGTCACACAACTAATAAGCAGTAAAAGAACAAAGATTCAAACTCAGGTCACCAGACTCCTAGTCCAGCATCGTGTCCTATGCCACCCTATGTCATTGCTCGTAGAGAGGCACATGCTCAGGAACAGGGAGAGAAAGCATATTAGTATTACCATGTGGATAGACTTTAGTGGTGAGAGCGAGCATAGCTCTGTAGACCTCAGTCCTGCTAGAAAGAAGATCAAACTTGGGGTGAGGGGAACCAGTTTTTGAACTAAGAGTTCTAGTTTTTGTGTCTTAAAGTATACATACAGGAAGAAATGCAGTCGACCTTGGTCCACCCTTCAGAAGTGATAGGGTTGCATAGAATGGGAATATACTGTCCTTCATGTGTGAAGGGGATAAACTGAGGGTGTGCCTAGGGAAAGAAGGCAGAGACCATGGATTAGCCCACATTATAGAGGTCAGAAAATCTTTTGGACAAAATAGACTTGGGAGCCATGCAGATATATAGTCTTGTTGATAAGGGGCTCACCGTCTGATGACGCCGCTCTCATTCACTAGGAGGCTCAGAATGCTATAGATAAGATCAGCTTGCCTTTTGGGAGAATGGCATAGTTAGAGCATGGCAACAGTGTGGCTAAGAGCTAAAGACAGAATAGGATAGGATAAGATAGGATTGGATGGGATAGGGCAGGACAGGATGGGGTGGGGTGGGATTGGATGGAATAGGACAGGATAGGATGGGGTGGGACAAAAGTGCATTTTTATAACATTTTAAGGATTTCATTTAAGACTTATAACAAACCTGTAAGATAGCTACTATAACGTATTGGACTTGGAATCCCTATTTTACAGATGAGGAAATTAAGATGACCTGACTTGCTTATAGCTGTATAGTCAATAAGGAGTGGAAATGGAATTTAAGTCGAGGTCTTCCTGACTTAATTCCACAACTCTGCTTTCTATGCCATGTTGTGGTCTATAGAACAACGCTTGTGTCCAACCTCCAATGTTTGGGGTCCCACTGGACTAGATACAGACCTGAATTGGCATGACCTCAAAATACTGCTGAACTTTATTTTAAGTTATATATTATTTAAAAATACTAACCAGTATTTATTTTTCTCCCTTTTACCTCCTCTCCCCCTACTGAGTAAAAAAAACAAACCCAAAACTTCTTAACAAATATGCGCAGTCAAGCAAAACCCATTCCTACATTGGCCATGTCCAAAGATGGATGTGTCATTCTGCATCTTGATTCTTTTCCTCTCAGTCAGGAGGTAGATAGCAGGCTTTACCATTGGCTCTCTGGAATTATGGTTGGTCATTTTATTGATCAGAATTCTTAAGTCTTTCAGAGTTTGTTTTTACATTCTTCCCCTGGTTCTTCTCACTTCACTCTACAACTGCTGAATGCTAAATGGCAAGGCAGAACCTCAGGCCAGAAATCCTTGAGCTTAACCTATTAGCTGAGCCCTCCTATCTAGATAAAAAAAAGAGACAAAGCATTTTAATGGAAGGAGCATTGGATTTGGAGTCCAGTAGTTCCAAACTTGACTCCCACCTCTGATACGAGTCATGTTGCGTAACTCACTTAATTTCCCCAGGTCTCAGTTTCGTCACTTATACAATAGGAACAATAATACCTGTATTGCACTTTAAGGCATTATATAATTGTATCATTAACTAATCTCTGCTGGGTTGGTTGGGTACTAAGAAAAGGTGGTGGGGGAGAGACCTAAGCTTCTTCAGAGTGGAAGACTAAAGTAGGGAACTGAACTGGTAGGCAGGGATAATGAAGAAGTTTTAGGACCAGCCCTTCCTAACATGGCCCATATGGGGATAGCTAGGAAAGAATAATGGCACTAGTAGACAAAGTCAGCATGCCTTTGTTGGGGTGGGGATGGGGGTTGGGAGCAGGGAAGCTCTTTTTTTGAGCAAAGGCTCTGGCTAAAAGCCACCAAGATAGCAGCTGCAGATCAAAGAGCAGTCTTCACATTGCTCAGTGAGGAGGGGGCTGGGTCACTTCTGTGATCTGGTCACTTCTTTCTCATCCTTGTGAGCCTGGTTGCACTCCTCACTGTCAATGGTGTCCTTCTTGCATCGGAGGGGCACAGCAGTAAGCAGAATGTTGGGTTATGATATGGTTTGGAGGCATCATGGGTAAAAATCAGATCCCACTGAAGCATCACAATCACACATTCAGAGGATTCCTCTGTAGAGATCACAGGTAGCATATACTTGGTGGTGGAGTGTGAGAGCATTCTGAGTCAGGCTTGCACTCAGAGGGTGTGTTTTGAGCTAGTTGCTAGCAGTGTGACTTTGGGCAAGTCTTAATTTTTTTGGTTATCTAGGTGGTGCAGTGGATAGACCACTGGTCCTGAAATCAAGGACACCCAAGTTCAAATGTGACCTCAGATATTTACTAGCTGTGTGACCCTAGGCAAGTAACTTAATTGCTATTTGCCTCAGTTTCCTCAATTGTAAAATGAGGATAATAATAGCACCATCTCCTCACCTTGTCATGAAGACCAAATGAGATGATATTTGTACAGTATTTTGCAAACTTTAAAGCGCCATATAACTACTATCTGTTATTCTCTGAGCCTTCCTCATCTGTAAAATGGGGAATATAATCCTTACATTACTTATGCCACAAGGTTGTTGTGAAGACTTGATGAAATAATATCTATCAAGTGCTTTGTAACTGGGAAACACTGTGTAAATATAAGCTTTTATTATTTGTGTGCTATGTGTCTTATTCACACATCCCTTTATGTATGTCCGTATCTGCTTACACATGGACTTATGGC